ATGGTGAAGGTGTATGAATTGTCGAATAGTATGTCGGTACAGTTGTTTTTGCTAGATTGGACGAAGTGGTGCTCGGAGCTCTTTTAAGGAGTTTGATGAGATTACTAATCGATGATTCAAGACCTGGTAGAAGAGCAACGGATCCGTCACGTAATGTAATGCACATATTCTTTTTAAGGTCATTTAATTGATCAGATTCAAAACGAAGTACATCAGTACATTCTTTACATCCAAGAAATGAGTCAACTCCATTGCAGTTTTGAAAGGCGAGCAGCTCTGCCACTCGATTTTCAGAAATTTGACGAATAAAATCATAAAATGCTTCATCTCGTAGATCCATATTATTTGAGGGAAGTACTCTTTGTAAACATATATCAATACTTCGAAATAGGTATATTAAAAACAGCAGAATTAAGAAATGAACAGTTCGTCTGTGAGTTTGTGTGAACAGATGGAAATGAAATGGTAACAACAAGACAAAGAAATTTTTTTTTTTTCTCATTCTGTCTTGTGTCACATGAACGCATGAACATACGACAAGAAAAAAGAAAAATATCGACTCAGACTGCATATCGACTGTCTATTGTTCATCATGGCTGTCCTGAATTTATAGAATACACGACGATATAATTCTTCCTGCACTGACAACTATTATGTAGGGTGAATGACAATTAGCGTTATTGTTTTCAATAAAAGTCACTTTATTCTGAATAATTATTAATAGTTACTGTTGATTGACAATGATTATTTTGATTACAATGAGCTTTTCCCCCTTGTCCTAGAGTATCATAGGATCTCTACAAAAACCTATGAATATCTCGATTTGCATCACTTCTCAGTTCGACATCTTCTACAATCCTTCAAATCTGATCTAGTCCACCGTCGAAAATATTAACCTCGATAGCAGACATTTTTTTCATGTCGTGAAATCCTTAAAATCGCGAAGTCGCAAACAAAGTCCTATACTCTCTATAAAGGGTTTTCGGGAGAATACAATTTGCTTGACTTCTCAGTAAGACATCTTTTGAAATCCTTCGAATCTCATAGAATCCACCATCAGGGTCTATATTCTGAAAACCGATATAGTATCTTCTTAGGGTATCGTTAAGTTCGCTGCTGTGCGATAATAGTTCTATAATCTCTATAACAAGTTTCTGGAAAAACATGATTTCATTCATCTTCCAGGTCGAGATCTTTTGAAATCAGAGGGTCAAACAGGCCATTGAGCCTACCTGACGTGCGTTTTCTGCATTTTCAACAAAAACAACTTCATTTCTTGAGTAGAAAGTGCAGATTTCAAAATTCAGTATCGAGAATTTTTGCTCTGGAATGTAAGAAAT